ATGAATGTTTATTGTAGATCAAAATGTCTTCTAGCACATTATTGTCGATACTTAATAAACACAATTTAACTGGCGAGAATTTTACTGATTGGAAAAGGAACCTAAAGATCGTCCTAACATTTGAGAAACAGAATTTCGTACTGAATACACCTTGTCCTCTGGAGCCACCTGTTGATGCTCCTAATGAGGTTTTCATAGCGTATCAACGCTGGAAGGACTCTGACGATTTGGCTCGCTGTTATATGATGGCGAGCATGTCCACTGTGCTACAAGCACAACATGAAGATTACATAACTGCTCGTCAGATTATGGATAATCTTGAGGACATGTTCGGTGGCCAAGCCGCTGAAAAACGTCGGGAAGACTTTAGTAACCTCATTAACTGCAGACAGAAGACTGGGTCTTCCATAAAGGAACATATGCTGAAGGTGATGGGCTATTTGGCTGAAGTTCAGACTAATGGGGCCGACATCGATGCTGAGTCTCAATTGACCATGATCTTTGAGACTTTGTCGAATGAGTATATTCCGTTTAGGGCAACGTTCAATTTGAGCGCTAGACAGAATATAACCCTGACAGAGTTGATGCAAGAACTCTAAAAGTTTGAGCGGATGAACAAGGGGTCGACAATTGTGGAGGCCAACTTTGCTGAGGCATCTTCCCCCAAACCCTCTTCAGGGAATGGAAAGAAGAAGCAAGTAGCTAAGAAGGAGAGTTCTTCAGTTCCGCCAAACAAGGGCAAGAACAAGAAGAAGAAGAACCCGAACAAGCTTAAGTGCTTTCATTGCGGGAAGGTGGGGCACATGAAGAAGAATTGCAAAGACTACCTAGCCGCTAAATGCAAAGGAGGTGTGTGTGATCTTTTGATTGTGGAAGCATGTCTGGTTGAGGAATCCAGTGACAACTGGGTCATAGATTCTGGAGCAACTAATCATGTGTGTGTTTCTCTGCAGGGGTTCAAGCAAACGAGAAGTCTTCTAAACGAAAGCTTCACGTTAAGGATGGGCGATGGAACACTAGTGTTGGCTGAAGCAGTGGGAGACGTCCATCTTTATTTTGATAGTTATATGAGTTTATTTTTGCGAGACTGTTTTTATGTTCCTCAATTTAAGAGAAATCTTATTTCTGTTGCTTGTTTATTTAAGGATTCTTATTCAGTTTCTTTTAATAATAAAGTTGTGATTCGTAAAAACAAGTCTTTTATCTGTGATGGATGGATGCAAAATAATCTATATTTTATCAAACCTAAGATGGACTCACTGCTAAACACTGAAGTTGTTAATAACTCTAAAAGGCTTAAAACTTCTCACTCTAATGAGACATATCTTTGGCATTTGCGACTTGGTCATATTAGCTTTAACAGGATACAGAGGTTGGTAAAGGATGGACCTTTAAGTTCTTTAAAGGTTGAGTTCTTACCCTAATGTGAATCTTGTTTGGAGGGCAAAATGACCAAAAGACCATTTGGGTCTAAAGGCAATAGGGCTGAAGATGTTCTTAAACTTGTGCACAGTGATGTTTGTGGTCCCATGAACATCAAGGCAAGAAGAGGGTATGAGTATTGCGTCACTTTTATCGACGATTACTTAAGATATGGTTATGTGTACCTATTGCGTCACAAAAGTGAAACTTTTGATAAATTCAAGGAGTTTCAGGCTGAGGTGGAAAAGCAACTAGGTAAACCCATAAAGGCACTTCGATCCGATTGAGGTGGAGAATACCTCTCTGATGAGTTCACCGGATACTTATTAGAGAATGGGATTCTATCCCATTTAACTGCACCTGGCACTCCACAGCAGAATGGTGTAGCTGAAAAAAGAAATATGACCTTGTTAGACATGGTACGGTCCATGATGAGTTATTCGACATTGTCTATATCTTTCTGGGGATATGCTTTACAAACTGCATGTTATCTTCTGAACAACGTGTCAACAAAGTCGGTTCCTAAAACTCCTCACGAGTTGTGGACGGTTAAGAATACATCCTTGAACCATATTCGCATATGGGGATGTCTTGCACATGTCCTGGACAAGGAAGCGAACAAGTTTGAAGCACGTTCAGAAGTGTGCATTTTTGTAGGTTATCCGAGAGGGACGAAAGAGGGTTATTTCTATAATCTCAAGAAAAATAAAGTCGTGGTTTCAACGAATGCAACATTCTTTGAGGAAAGTTACATGAATGACTTTATGGTTGACTTGTCCAAATTAATACACCGTCCACTTGCCAGCTAATACTTGAACAAAACTTCTTAACCTGTATAACAGTCATCCAAAACTCAACTCTACACAAGATATGCTATCGTCGGTGAAGAGAAAACACGCTCTGCCCATTCAGACATGGAAACAGATCGACTTCAATTAAATAATTAAACAACTGCTGTTCGTCATTAATAATAATGCCATATGAAACAATCGTATAAATCATTGTTTCTGTAAATCCTATCCATACTTGCAGTGATCATCACCATTGCTGATTAATAATATTTTTCATAAGGAAAAGACTAATTTGAAAGCAGATAATAAGATTTACTGCGACTGGCATTGTATTACCCAGTCCATTTTCCTCCCAAGAGTCACATAGTTGCATTATAATCAATAATAAAAGTGCGCTTCTTTTTAAAGAAAATCGTCCTTTGTTTCTTTGATAAATAAGAAAACCAGCCTTCTATAGAAATGTACAACCGTCCCAACTCCCATTTGCCAGCAAATTGTTTTTGAAGAAAGAAGTAAAACGTAACTGATTCTACAAATGAATAACCATCTAAGTTGCGATAATTTTTGGCTCACTTAGCGTAGCATATAATAAAGTCATAGGGAAAAAGGTTATTTGTCTGAATTTGATTACATTAACTTCGGCATGACACTAGCCAGGGAGACAATATATACTGAATCATATGATTGCAGCAGATACTTACAGTTTTTATTTCGACCTCCTACTACACTTATTAGGCACTGCAATTAAAAGCCATTCCAAATCTTATGAAAATGCATAGTAGAACAGGATGGAATCTGATTGCTCCTAAAATTATTGTTTGAAACAAAGTTCTCAACACTGAAATGACTACAACTTACAAAGTTATAAAGAAAACCATGTAGGTACAATAGAAAGCTACAAAATGATCCTATTTGATAAAATAATTGTGTTCAAAATCTCATTTTTTGCACTTCGTTTTCCAGACATGAACTCTCCAGGATTACCAGACCAAAAAAATAAACATTGGCAGCAAGAGGGAAAATTCCAAATTCCATAAAGTTTATAGTGTACATTTATGTCTGCATAAAAATGTCGTACACCATAATGACACAGGTCTAACCTTGGGATCGATTCCCAATCGCAAGATCGATCCTCAGCCGATTTTGATCAAGTATGAAGGCAGTCGAACAAGCCAACGTGGAACATATCTCGCTTATCGAAGCTAAAGCTCCATCACTGTCAAACCTAACACCAGATCATCTGCAACCTCAAATAGCAATCTCCAATATGGGGAAAAAAAAGTTCAAAATGAAAGAACAAAAAAAAGAAATGAACTTCTATTCTGCTGATCTGAAATATTCACAAGAGTGTCAAATCAATTAACACCAACAAACTTGGAAGTTGAAGTTTTCATTCAAGCATCACAAAACTGAAACAACAGTGGAAGAATTCGAGCTTTCCCAAACTTCAATCCCTTCAGATTCTCTTCTACAAACAAACAATCTGTCACCCCCACCTTCAATCTTCTCTATAATCCCTCTCTCAGAATCCTCCAATCTATCCACAAAGTTCCTCCTATACAATCCCTCACAAACCCCATTTTCTTTCTCCCTCTCAACTTTCCCATTTTCCACTCTTGACCAAACCTCCAAACTACCATCTCTCCCCACAAAAACTTGCTTCTTGTAACAGTGAATCACACTATATCCACCAACTCCGCCAGTAACCCTCAAGCTCGGATTGCTCTCTTGCAAGTAAACCCACGGGTCGTCGCCCAAATTGCGTAAATCCGCCATTCCCAAGTCTCCGGACTTCGAGCAGACCTTGAAGATGCTCGATTCTTCAGCGTCAACGTCTACGGCGGAAAACGGGTCTCCAAACCTGCCGCTACGTCCGGATCCCGGCTCGTTCATCTCCCAAACCACCTTACCGGACCTCGGGTCCCACAACCTAATGTACCCTGAGAATCCGAACGCTCCGCAAGTAACAGTAACCCTCAAGCTCGGATTGCTCTCTTGCAAGTAAACCCACGGGTCGTCGCCCAAATTGCGTAAATCCGCCATTCCCAAGTCTCCGGACTTCGAGCAGACCTTGAAGATGCTCGATTCTTCAGCGTCAACGTCTACGGCGGAAAACGGCCCCCCACCCCTGCCGCTACGTCCGGATCCCGGCTCGTTCATCTCCCAAACCACCTTACCGGACCTCGGGTCCCACAACCTAATGTACCCTGAGAATCCGAACGCTCCGCAAGTAATGGAGCTTCCGAAGAGCAATCCGGTCTCCGGCAGCCACGTAAGCTTGCCGGGGACTAGATTCTTCGCTGAGCCACCGGTGTACCGGCCGAGCTCGGATTGAACTTGGAGCGTGGACTTGTCAATTACGAGAATGGAATTCTCCTTGTGAGGGCAATAAAACGCGGCGAAGACGGAATCGGTCGAATCGGCGATCGCGCTCACTCGCGCTTTGAAGATCCGAGGATCGGACGGATCTCTCCAGTGCACCGATCCGACGTTGCGATTGCCGGAGAAATCGTAGAAATGGAGACCGGCGGCGGAATCGGAGCCTAGGGCTGCGAGTTCCGAGTACACTCGGCAAATCGAGGTGATCTCCTCTAGATGCGTACGGACAGTGCCGGTGTGGAGCAAATTCCAGTCGTAGCTCGAAATCTGGCCACCGTGGGCGATCCAGACGGATCCGTCGCCGTCGCCGGAGGTGAAAGCGGAGACGAATCCGTCGGAGGTCGGTCGGATGGTGGCGACGATAGAGGCGTCGATGCCGCAGAGCGAAGGAGGCGAAACGGCGGACTTGAGGCGGGACTCGATTCCGTAGTAGAGGGCTTCGTCGGCGAGCTCCTGCTTGGAGAATCGGCGGGCGGTGGAAGGGAGGCGATTGGAGCGGAGGAGAGAGAGGAGGACGGAGAAGATTTCTGGATCGCGGTCGATGAAGATGGAGTTGGCGTCGCCGGTGGGGCGGTTAGAGAGGGCGGATAGGAGGGAGTCGGGGCCGCCGGAGTGGAGGGTGGAGACGGTGGTCTCGAAGAGTTTGCCGCCGACGTTGAGCTTCATTCGGGCGTTGGTAGAAGCAGTTTGGGGGTTTGGATCCTCCATTAATGGATGTGAAGACAGATGAGAGAGAGGGAGGTGGAATTTCAACGATACTTTCATTTCTTTTGTCTCGTCTTAAAAGCCGTGGGCTGCACATATTTAACTTTAATAATATTAAAAAAATTTCGTAACTTGATGTTTGGTGATAGATAAAGAATTAAAGTTTAATTTAACATTTAAAATTTATATTTAATAGAATGTTTGGAGTTATTTTTATTTTTATTTTTTATATTATTTGTAAAAGAAAAAATAAAAATGAGAGTGAAAATACATTTGACACAATTAAAGATAAAAGGCAGAAATAAAAATGATTTTTTTAATTTAGTATCAAATGGGAGAGACTTTTAAAGCCTAAAAAATTATGGGTCAGGCCAGGCCGGCCCAAAACTTTTTGAACTTAGAGTTAGGTGGTCAAAACTTACACTTATACTTCATATTTTATCGCATGGGTTAGTAAACCCTTTTTGAAAATTTGCCAACCTAATTTTTCAGGCTAAAATTCACTTGTGTTCATCAGTTTTGGAAAAAAAAAAATTAGAGAACTGTGTCATAACTATTTATCTATAGATAATTATTGGGCCTATAATATACCAAATTGAAGCTCTTTTCGAGCTCTACAATTTTGGCAGGGCATAGCAAGCCAATCCAATTTTTTAGGCCAAAATTCACTTGTTTTCATCAGTTTTGGAGGAAAAAAATCAGAGAACTGTGACTGCAAGCGGCCATAACTTTTTATCTGCTAATCGTTACTGGGCCTATAATATACCAAACCAAATCCATTTTCGAGCTCTACAATCATGGCAGGGCATAGCCCTCCAACCCAATTTTTCGGACCAAAATTCACTTGTTTTCATCAGTTTCGGAGGAAAAAAATCGGTGAACTGTGACTGAAAACGGCCATAACTTTTTATCTACAAATCGTTACTGGGCCTATAATATACCAAATCGAAGCTCTTTTCAAGCTCAACAATCATGGTAGGGGATAGCCCGCCAACCTAATTTTTCGGGCCAAAATTCACTTGTGTTCATCGATTTCGGAGGAAAAAAATTGGAGAACTGTGACTGAAAACGGCCATAACTTTTTATCTACAAATCATTACTAGGCCTATAATATACCAAATCGAAGCTCTTTTTCAGCTCTACAATCGTGACAGAGCATAGCCCACCAACCCAATTTTTCAGGCCAAAATTCACTTGTTTTCATCAGTTTCGTAGGAAAAAAATCAGAGAACTATGACTGAAAACGGCCATAACTTTTTATGTACTAATCATCACTAGGCCTATAATATACCAAATCAAAGCTCTTTTCGAGCTCTACAATCATGGTAGGGCATAGCCCTCCAACTCAATTTTTCGGGCCAAAATTCACTTGTTTTCATCAGTTTCGGTGAAAAAAAATCGGAGAACTGTGACTGAAAACGGCCATAAATTTTTATCTACAAATCGTTACTGGGCCTATAATATACCAAATCGAAGCTCTTTCGAGCTCAACAATCATGGCAGGATGAAGCCTGCCAACCCAATTTTTCGGGCAAAAATTCACTTATGTGCATCAGTTTCGGGGGAAAACAATCGGAGAACTGTTACTGAAAACGGTCATAACTTTTTATCTACAGATAGTTACTGGGCCTATAATATACCAAATTGAAGCTCTTTTCGAGCTCTACTATTATGACAGCGTATAGCCCGCCAATCCAATTTTTTGGGCCAAAATTCACTTGTTTTCATCAGCTTAGAGGAAAAAAAATCAGAGAACTATGACTGAAAACGGCGATAACTTTTTATCTAGATATCGTCACTTGGCCTATATTATACCAAATCGAAGCTCCTTTCGAGCTCAACAATCATGGTAGGGCGTAGCCTGCCAACCCAATTTTTCAGGCTAAAATTCACTTGTTTTCATCAGTTTCAGAGGAAAAAAATCGGAGAATTGTGACTGAAAACGGCCAAAACTTTTTATCTACTAATCGTTACTGGGTCTATAATATACCAAATCAAAGCTCTTTTCGAGCTCTACAATCATGGCAGGGCAAAGCCCTCCAATCCAATTTTTCGGGTGAAAATTCACTTGTTTTCATCAGTTTCGGAGGAAAAGAATCGGAGAACTGTGACTGAAAACGGCCAAAACTTTTTATCTACTAATCGTTACTGGGTCTATAATATACCAAATCAACGCTCTTTTCGAGCTCAACAATCATGGTAGGGCGTAGCCTGCCAACCCAATTTTTCAGGCCAAAATTCACTTGTGTTCATCAGTTTCAGAGGAAAAAAATCGGAGCACTATGACTGAAAACGGCGATAACTTTTTATCTATAAATCGTTACTGGGCCTATAATATACCAAATCGAAGAACTTTTCGAGCTCAATAATTGTGGTAGGGTGTAGCCCGCCAATCCAATTTTTCGGGCAAAAATTCACCTGTGTTCATCAGTCTCGGTGGAAAAAAATCGGAGCACTATGACTGAAAACGGCAATAACTTTTTATCTACAGATAGTTACTAGGCCTATAATATACCAAATTGAAGCTCTTTTCGAGTTCTACAATTATGGCAGGGCATAGCCCGCCAATCCAATTTTTGGGCCAAAATTCACTTGTGTTCATCTGTTTTGGAGGAAAAAATCAGAGAACTGTGACTGAAAACGGCCATAACTTTTTATCTATATATCGTTACTGGGCCTATAATATACCAAATCGAAGCTCTTTTCGAGCTCAACAATCATGGTATGGCGTAGCCCACCAACCTAATTTTTCGGGCCAAAATTCACTTGTGTTCATCAGTTTCAGAGGAAAAAAATCGGAGAACTGTGACTGAAAACGGCCATAACTTTTTATCTACAAACCGTTACTGGGCCTATAATATACCAAATCAAAGCACCTTTCGAGCTCTACAAGCATGGCAGGGCATAGCCCTCCAATCTAATTTTTCGGGCTAAAATTCACTTGTTTTCATCAGTTTCGGAGGAAAAAAATCAGAGAACTGTGACTGAAAATGGCCATAACTTTTTATCTACAAATCGTTACAGGGCCTATAATATACCAAATCGAAGCTCTTTTCGAGCTCAACAAGCATAGAAGGGCGTAGCCAGTCAACCCAATTTTTTGGGCAATAATTCACTTGTGTTCATCAGTTTCGGAAGAAAAAAATCAGAGAACTGTGACTGAAAACGGCCATAACTTTTTATCTACAGATAGTTACTGGACCTATAATATATCAAATTGAAGCTCTTTTCGAGCTCTAAAATTATGGTAGGGCATAGCCCACTAGTCCAATTGTGTTGGCCAAAATTCACTTGTTTTCATCAGTTTTGGAGAAAAATAATCAGAGAAATGTGACTGAAAACGGCCATAACTTTTTATCTAGATATCGTTACTGGGCCTATAATATACCAAATCAAAGCTCTTTTCGAGCTCAACAATCATGGTAGGACGTCGCCTACCAACCCAATTTTTCGGGCCATAATTCACTTGTGTTCATCAGTTTCTGAGGAAAAAAATCGGGGAACTGTGACTGAAAATAGTCATAACTTTTTATCAATAAATAGTTACTGGGCCTATAATATAGCAAATCGAAGCTCTTTTGGAGCTCTACAATCATGGCAGGGCATAGTCCACCAACCCAATTTTTTAGGCCAAAATTCAGTTATTTTCATTAGTTTAAGAGGAAAAAAATCGGAGAACTTTGACTGAAAACGGCCATAACTTTTTATCTACTAATCGTTACTGGGCCTATAATATACCAAATCAAAGCTCTTTTCGAGCTCTACAATCATGATAGGGCAAAGCCCTCCAATCCAATTTTTTGGGCAAAAATTCACTTATTTTCATTAGTTTCGGAGGAATAGAATTGGAGAACTGTGACTGAAAACGGCCATAACTTTTTATCTACAAATGGTTACTGGGCCTATAATATACCAAATCGAACCACTTTTCGAGCTCAATAATCGTGGCAGGGTTTAGCCCGCGAATCCAATTTTTTGGGCAAAAATTCACTTGTGTTCATCAGTTTCGGTGGAAAAAAATCATAACACTATGACTGAAAACGGCAATAACTTTTTATCTACAGATAGTTACTAGGCCTATAATATACCAAATTGAAGCTCTTTTCGAGCTCTAAAATTATGACAGGCAAAGCCTGCCAATCCAATTTTTTGGGCCAAAATTCACTTGTGTTCATCAGTTTTTGAGGAAAAAAATCAGAGAACTATCACTGAAAACGGCCATAACTTTTTATTTAGATATCGTTACTGGGCCTATAATATACCAAATCGAAGCTCTTTTCGAGCTCAACAATCATGGTACGGCGTAGCCCACCAACCCGATTTTTCGGGCCAAAATTCACTTGTGTTCATTAGTTTCAGAGGAAAAAAATCAGAGAACTGTGACTGAAAACAGCCATAACTTTTTATCTACAAATCGTTACTGGGCCTATAATATACCAAATCAAAGCTCCTTTCGAGCTCTACAAGCATGGCAGGGCATAGCCCTCCAATCCAATTTTTCGGGCGAAAATTCACTTGTTTTCATCTGTTTAGGAGGAAAAAAATCGAAGAACTGTGACTGAAAACGGCCATAACTTTTTATCAACAAATCGTTACTGGGCCTATAATATACCAAATCGAAGCTCCTTTCGGGCTCAACAATCATGGCGGGGCGTAGACCGCCAACCAAATTTTTCGGCAAAAATTCACTTGTGTTCATCAGTTTCGGAGGAAAGAAATCGGAGAACTATGACTGAAAACGTCCATAACTTTTAATCTACTGATAGTTACTGGGCTATAATATACCAAATTGAAGCTCTTTTCGAGCTCTACTATTATGACAGCGTATAGCCCGCCAATCCAATTTTTTGGGCCAAAATTCACTTGTTTTCATCAGTTTTAGAGGAAATAAATCAGAGAACTATGACTGAAAACGGCGATAACTTTTTATCTAGATATCGTCACTTGGCCTATATTATACCAAATCGAAGCTCTTTTCGAGCTCAACAGTCATGGTAGGGCGTAGCCTGCCAACCCAATTTTTCGGGCCAAAATTCACTTGTGTTCATCAGTTTCAGAGGAAAAAAATCAGAGAAT